CCCAACCCCACCCCACCCCACAACCCCTAGGAGTAAAAAAGAAAAGTATGAAGGCAATACCATTGCCATATTTTTCTTAAATTGGATGTGGATGGCCATTTTGTTGACGGGTGATGGTTAACTGAAGTTGTATTATTTGTCCCTTTTGCTAACAAAATCAAACCCATCCGGTTGAGAGTTCAAACTGCAAGATGCTACGGGCACAAATTCATCATGATGAAATATTACCATTTTCTGCGGCTCCAGAAACCATCCGTTAGGCCTCAAGATTTTCATTCCGGCATAGCACAAATATCAGAAAGAGTGCACAAAATTAGTCGTACAATAGTTATGAGTGAATTACCTCATCCCCTGCATTAACAGAATTGATTCTGCCCCAGTTGGAGTGTTGTCTTTGAAAGGTCCCTCAAAGTTCCTTGTATTAACAACATCATAGTAAAATATGAGTTTTCCAGTATAGTAACTGATCACAAATCAAAATTATGTAATGATATAACAGTCCAAGAAATAAGGCTTTGAATTATTGAGAAAAAATGGAGTCTTGTCCCACCCCGCACTTATGCATTACTTTATATCTTGATGGAAATCAGACATCAAATATGTTGTCTTACACTCGAAACACTTACCTCTAGTTGCAGACGAATGCAAAGACAAAGAAAGAGAACTCAATTGAAAAACAAAAAGATTTAATAACTATGCCTTTTTGGTTGAAAAGAGAAGAAAAGATAAAAAAAAATCTAAGAATTATTCTGGTCCTCGGGAGACAAGTAGGGAGCCCAAGAGGAAAATCTTGATGGGTCTATCCCATAATTTAAGGAAGATGTCTTTCTTCACTTCTAAGTTTTTTGCAGTCACCGTTTTTTGAATTGTCAACGTTTTTGAATTGTCAACATTGAAGAAAAAGAAGAAAATGTGTGTGCAAATTATCAAATATAGTAGGCTTCAGATAGTGAGGCTTCAGCTATAAAATGAGAGCTCCGGCTCTCATTTCTACACACCAAAAAAGAGAGAAAGAAAGAGTGAGGCTTCACACACAGAGTATAAGAAAATAGCCTGTGAGAAAAATAGAGAGTGAGCGATATCGTAGTGAGGTGAGAATATCAAAAAAGAGATATTTCTTTTGAGAGTTGTAATGGTCCGTGGAGTATTTTACTCGGACCTACAAAGTGTAAAATTCCTTGCTATAGTGATGTCAGTTGCTCCCCTGGGGGTCGTGGGTTTTCCCTTATTCAAAAGGATTTTTCACATAAAAATTTTGGTATCATTGTCACTCTCTTATTCTTGCTAATTACCGTATATCGGTACTATATTATTATTCTGCTTTTATTATCATGAATATTATTTCTGCGGGGGTTTATTCCCAACAACTGGTATCAGAGCACAGGTTCTGTTCGTTCACACAAGTACTATTCATTATCGGTAGTACTATACTCGGTGAAAAAATGGTCCAGAGTAAAGTACGAGGTAACAAAATTCAACAGAGATAGTGATTTCTCAACATGACAAAGAAGGATGATGGATCTTCTCATCCAACAAAAATTACACAAGGTACTAGATGTTGATGCCAAAAAGCCTGATACCATGAAAGCTGAAGATTGGACTGACTTGGATAAAAGTGCTGCTAGTGCAATCAGGTTGCACTTATCAAATGATGTGGTACATAACATCATTGATGAAAACACCGCATGTGGAATTTAGACAAGGTTGGAAAGCCAATACATGTCCAAAACGCTGACAAATAAATTATACCTGAAGAAGCAGTTATACGCCCTACACATGGGTGAAGGTACGAATTTTTTTCACATTTAAATGTATTTAACGGACTAATCACATAGCTCACCAACCTCAGAATGAAAATCGAGGAAGAAGATAAAGTCATCTTATTATTGAACTCGTTGCCATCTTCGTACGATAATAGCAACAACCATCCTGCACGGTAAGATACAATTGAGTTGAAAGATATCACATCGGTTCTCCTACTCAATGAGAAGATGAGAAAGAATCTAGAAAATCAAGGACAGACTCTCATCATAGAAGGTAGAGGCAAGAGTTATCAAAGAAGTTTAAGAAAATATGGTAGATCTGGAGCTCGTGAGAAATCTAAGAACCGATCCAAATCAAGATCCAGAAATTGCTACAATTGTGATCAACCAGGTCACTTCAAAAGAGATTGCTCAAATCCAAGGAAGGGCAAAGGTGAAAGTAGTGGCCAAAAGAATGACGACAACACAACCGCCATGATGCAAAACAATGATAATGTTGTCCTCTTTATAAATGAAGAAGAAGAATGCATACACTTGTGAGATCTAGAGTCGGAATGGGTGGTTGATACAGCAACATTTTACCATGCCACATCGGTAAGAGAATTTTTTTTGCAAATATGTAGCAGGCGATTTTGAAACCATGAGAATGGGTAACACGAGTTACTCAAAGATTGCGAGGATCGGTGATATTTGTATCAAGACAAATGTCGGATGCACATTGGTTCTAAAGGACGTGCGACATGTACTTGATATGCGGATGAACTTGATCTCGGAAATTGCTTTAGACCGAGATGGATACGAGAACTATGTTGCGAATCAAAAGTGGAGATTCATCAAAGGATCATTGGTGATTGCAAAGGGAGTTGCTCATGGCACGTTGTACAAGACAAATACAGAAATATGCCAAGGTGAACTAAACGCGGAACAAGATGAGATTTCTGCAGATTTGTGGCACAAAAGAATGGGTCTTATGAGCGAGAAGAGATTGCATATTCTTGCCAGGAAATCACTCATTTCTTATGCCAAAGGTATAACGATAAAACCTTGTGACTACTATTTATTTGGTAAGCAACATAGAGTCTCATTTCATATAACGTCTGAAAGAAAATCGAATATACTTGATTTGGTATATTCTAATATTTGTTGTCCAATGGAAATTGATATGATGGGCGGTAACCAATATTTTGTTACTTTTATTGATGATGCTTCACGAAAATTATGGGTTTATATTTTGAAAACCAAAGATCAAGTGTTTCAAGTTTTCTAGAAGTTTCATGCTCTGGTGGAAAGGGAGACAGGCCAAAAGCTAAAGCGTCTTCGAAGTGACAATAGAGGTGAGTACATTTCAAGGGAATTTGAAGAGTACTATTCAAGCCATGGGATCAGACATGAAAAAATAGTTCCTGTAACCCCACAACACAATAGCATAACTGAAAGGATGAACCGCACCATTGTGGAGAAGGTGAGAAGCATGCTCAAAATGGCTAAACTGCCTAAGTCATTCTGGGGTGAAGCAATTCAGATAGCATGCTACCTGATCAATAGGATTCCATCAGTTTTGTTGGCGTTTGACATCCCAAAGAGAGTTTGGACCAACAAGGAGGTGTCCTACTCGCATTTGAAGATGTTCGGTTGTAGAGCTTTTGCACATGTACCAAAAGAGCAGAGAATAAACCTAGATGATAAATCAGCTCCCTCCATATTCATCGGATATGGAGATGAAGAGTTCGGGTACAGATTGTGGGATCCTGTAAAGAAGAAGGTCATCAGAAGCAAAGATGTAGTCTACTGTTAAAGTGAAGTTGGAACCGCTAATGATATGCCAGAGAAGGCTAAGAATGGTATAATTCCAAATATTGTTACTATTTCTTCTACTTCTAACAATCCCACAAGTGCAGAAAGTAGGACCGACGAGGTTGCTGAGCAGGGGGGGAACCTAATAAGGTTATTCAGTAGGAGGGGCAACTTGATAATGGTGTCAAGCAAGTGGAGCACCATACTCAGGAAGAAGAACAACCTCAACCTCTAAGGAGATCAGGAAGGCCAAGGGTAGAGTCATGCAGGTACCCTTCCACACAATATGTCCTCATCAGTGATGAGGGGGAGCCAAAAAGTCTTAAGGAGGTGATGTCCCATACAGAAAAGAACCAGGGGATAAAACCATGCAAGAAGAGATGAAATCTCTGTAGAAAAATGGCACATACAAGCTGGTTGAACTTCCAAAGGGTAAAAGACCACTCAAATGTTAGTGAGTCTTTAAACTCAAGAAAGATGGAAATGGCAAGCTGGTGAAATACAAAGCTCGAATGGTGTTTAAAAGCTTCGAACATAAAAAAGGTATTGATTTGGACAAAATTTTCTTATATATTGTCAAAATAACTTCTATTTGAACAATTTTGAGCTTAATAGCTAGCCTAGATCTTGAAGTGGGGCAGTTGGATGTGAAAACTACATTTCTTCATAAAGATTTGGAAGAGGAGATATATATGGAGTAGCCAGAAGGAATTGAAGTAGCTGGAAAGAAAAACATGGTGTGCAAATTGAATAAGAGTCTTTAAGGATTAAAGCAGGCACCAAGGCAGTGGTACATGAAGTTTGACTCAAATATACATAAAGACCTATTCTGATCCATGTGTATACTTCAAAAAAAATTCTAAGAATAACTTTATTATATTGTTGTTGTATGTGGATGACATGTTAATTGTAGGAAAAGACAAGGGGTTGATCTCAAAGTTGAAGGGAGATTTGTCCAAGTCATTTGATATGAAGGACTTGGACCCAGCACAACAAATTTTGGGTATGAAGATAGTTCGAGAGCGAACAAGCAGAAAGTTGTGGTTGTCTCAAGAGAAGTACATTGAACGTGCACTGGAACGTTTTAACATGAAGAATTCTAAGCCAATCAGCACACCTCTTGCTAGTCATCTAAAGTTGAGCAAGAAGATATGTACTACAACAGTGGAGGAGAAAGGGAACATGGCTAGATTACTTATTCTTGAGTAGTCGGAAGCTTGATGTATGCAATGATATGCATCAGACCTGATATTACTCATGTAGTTGGTGTTGTTAGCAGATTCCTTGAAAATTTAGGAAAGGAACATTGGGAAGCAGTCAAGTGGATACTCAGGTACCTAAGAGGTACTGTAGGAGATTGCTTGTGTTTTGGAGGATCTAATCCAATCTTGAAGGGCTACACAGATGCTGATATAGTAGGTGCTCTTGATAATCATAAATCTACTAGAAGATACTTGTTCACATTTTCAGGGGGGAGCTATATCATAGCAGTCGAAGCTGCAAAAGTGTATTGCACTCTCTACAACTGAAGTAGAGTATATTGCTGCTACTGAAGCTGGCAAGGAAATGGTTTGGCTGAAACGGTTCCTTCGAGAGCTTGGACTACATCAAAATAAGTATGTTGTCTATTGTGACAGTTAACGTGTTATAGACCTAAGCAAAAACACCATGTATCACGCAAGGACGAAGCATATCGACGTGAGATATCATTGGATTCAAGAAAGAATAGAGAATGGATCTATACAGGTCAAGAAGATCCATACAAGTGAGAACCCTTCGTATATGCTGACAGTGGTATCAAGAGATAAGTTCGAGCTATACAAAGAACTTGTCGGCATGCACTCAAACTAGAAACTCCGATGTTACCTCCTTCATGTGAATAGGACTGGAGGGGGAGATTTGATGGGTCCATCCCATTATTTAAGGAAGATGTCTTTATTCCTTTGATAAATACTTCTAAGTCTTTTTCTAAATTGGCAGCCACCATTTTTTGAAATGTCAACATTGAAGAAAAAGAAGGAAAAATGTGTGCAATTTGTAAAATATATTAGGCTTCAGAGAGTGAGGCTTCGGCTATAAAATGAGAGCTTTGGAGTGAGGACAGTATCAGTAACTGAACACAAATCAAAATTATGTCATGATATAATAGTCCAAGAAATAAGGCTTTGAATTATTGAGAAAAATTAGAGTCTTGTCCCACCCCGC